ACCCACGCAACCACAAGATCCACCATCATCACCCACCTCCACCGCAGCTAGAAACCACGACGACCACAGCCAGATATACCAAAAAAATAGATACAAAACTTCCAACACCCCACAACCACCATCACTACCACAGCGTGGCCACCCCTCCCACGCAGATCATGCCCACGTCCACACAAATCACACCCACCTCCACACAGAGCACACAGACCAGTGGCCGCTTTCTTGGAGGCTATGGCGACGACGCTCTTCGGGGACAAAAACCTGGGCAGCGTCGCGACGCTGCTGTCGGCGTCGCAACAGCATCGCGACGCTGATGCGAATTCGGGCAGCAGCATCAAGGAGAAGGGGAGGGAGAGGAGAGGAGAATTCATCGGTGGCAGCAGCACAGTGGAGAAAGGTCGCCGGTGGCGGCGGCACCAGCACGATGGGGAGAGCGAGATACGGGAGGAGGGGGGGTGAGGGATTTAGTGAAAAATTGGGGATTTTATGGTGGGAACAGGAGCAAATTGGAACTAGTTATCTATTTAATATTTAGAATTGAAATATCTGATTTTTGGAAAGTGAACCTTCCCATCTTTCTATTTAATATTTAAAATTGAAATATCTTATTTTTGAAAAGTGAAACTTCCCATCTGGTTTTGGAAAAGTGAAGTTGAAAAGAAGGGTTTTGTATAATTACCACGAAATTCAATGCCCCAGTGGGGACAACTGCCCTCAATGGGCCCTTAATGGGTCCCCCCTGAACGAGACATCCAATTTCAATGCCTTAGCCATGAGGATGATTTCGTTTAATAGAAGAAAATTCAAGCAACTTCAAATGTATATTTAAGTAAAATTATTAATTTATCGAACATTTATTTATAAAAATTTTACTATATGAAGTATAAACTTGTATTTGAAAATGAATAGTTTCCTAATTTTTGTTTTTAAATTTTACTTGGCATATGCACTTCTTGCATGATATCTTAGACGATGTATTTGATAAATTGATTGAATGGCATTGAAAAGTTAAAAAATATATATATATTATCATCTCCTCTATTGTACTTTCTAATCCTATTCCACCCAAAATTGGAAAGTAAAGTAAATGTAGTAAACACAGGGCATGGTATGATTATTTTTTTTACAGGTTCGGAACTCTTTATCACCAGACCATTTTGAGCTCTCCTTTACTCTGCCAAAACCATTATTGACACAAAATTGATTATGACTATTAGAATGTGACACAATATGGTCCACGAAATCAATAATTCTACCATATTACGGTTAAGATATAAAATCTCACATCGATTAAAGATGAAAATATAGATCAACTGAGCAACATATAAGAGTTTGAATTACTCCTTTTAGTAAGGTTGACCTTTTTAAGATGGAATTTCAAATTTTAATATGATATCAAAACCCATTAAAATCCGACGAGCAATTCGATCCGATTAAAACTTAAAAAATGAGCACACTGATTTCAAATTTGTTTTGGTCAAACTTGAATAATTTATCAACTTCGAGAAATTCTATGGGTTCTCACTTGTGAAATTTCGAACCAAGCAATTAACACTTCTTTACATTTTTATAATGTAACACCCACCAGGGTTAGATGTTTGATCTTGATATGCAACCTGGTACAATTACGCAATGATATGTTTAGAGAGCTATATCGTGTCGGGACTAATTGTTTTCATTGTTTTTAGAAAATCAATTAATAATATATTAGAAAACTAATTGACTCCAACAATGGTCATGCGTACACAGCTTGTTGGGTCCAATAAAATATTTGAACAAAAATCGTTATCAATGACAAGATATGCTAATTAATTGAAAATTGATAATATGAAGAGATTTTTTTATTTTTTTTTTGAGTCGACAGTGTACAAAGATTAAGGACATCTAGCACACATTCTTTAAAAAAAAATCATTATTTCGAAATTTATTTTTTTTTTAAATGTAGCTCAAGCAGAGGCTATATAAATAGGTAAACAATTTGGAGAAATTAAAATCTAGAAAAAAGAAAAATAATTTCGTAATCATAGGAAAATAATTGATTGTAAGAAAATAGACTAAATAAAGATATCTTCAATTAAAAAAAAAAAAAAATTAGAAGAAGGTCAGGTCATACTTGAGGGGGGAAAAAATCTTTTCTTTTTTCACCTACCTAATTTTTTATATTATATATAGAGCGAGAAAAAAGAGAAGTGTCTTCGATAATTGACTTTTAAGAATTTTAAAGTTTAGGAGTATTCAAAATAGATATTTTAAGAATCTATACAAACATTAATATATTTAGTTCATGTTTGGTAGGAATGAAAATCTAAATTTTAATTTAAATTAAAGTCAATAATTAATTTCAACCGTATATTTTATGAATTATATAATTTTTCAACCACACATTTCATCAATTTTTATTAAAATCTATTAAAAATCTACTAAATAGAGACTTTTAAAGAATTTTAAAAAGTCTTAAAAAATACAGTGTATTCAATTTAAAACTTTTTAGAACAAATTATGAGATAATCAAAATATCAATGACTTTTAAAGTTTTACAAACTCTTTAAAATATTAACTTAAAAAATAAAGTACCAAAACAAATTTGCAAAAATAGTCAATCATTCACCCCAACATTTTAAGAGACTTTCACAAAAAAGATTTTTTTTAATATATATATGTTTTCCTTTCAGTATTTCTCTTTTCTCTTCCTTTCTACGAGCCTTAAAGTCATGATTTAATTTTTTTTCTACGGGTTATATTTGTTCCCCTCTCTCTCTCTCTCTCTCTCATTTTTATCGTTTCTCCTCATTTGATTAAAAAATTCTTATACATTTTTTTTTATTAATTTTATTATGAAAAAATTAATTTGTAATTAAGTTTTATAGAAACAAACCAATTTGTAATTGAATTTTAAATATATTGATTTTTTTTTCCTTTTTAAAGGTATAAGATATTGATAATACCGAATATTAAATATTCCTTTATTTTATTTATCAAAAAAGCCAAAATATATTATATAATGTTTATTTATTTAATAAAAAATCTTGAAAGGACAAATGAATTATAAAAGTTTTAAATGAAAGTTTATACAAGTTTATGAAAGATTTTCATTAATTTTACACAAATTTATAGAAGTTCACGACTCGTCACTTAAAAATGGTTTTTAAAAATCTCGATTATATACATCCCTTTAATCCATTCAATCTTTTTAGAGTAACGCTATTTAACATTACTGGTGTTTAGCCCCATTTTAAGTGGTAATTAGATGTCATTAAATGATAAGTTCATTCAAATGTAAAGTCAAAACATTCATTAAATACACCTATCAAGTGTAGACATTTAAACTGGTGTTAAATATCATTATTCATCTGTTTAAATAATTTTTTTAGATTCTTTATCAAACATATTTCTCAAAAACATTTGTAGAATGAACAATTCCGAATGCTAATTTAGCAATTATTTTAGAAGAAAGCTGGTTATAAACCTTGGTTTAGCTAAAATCAATTTTTTATTACGTTATGATAAAAGTTGATAAAGCATATGGCTGAAAGTCGATAGAATCGTGGATTTCATAAAATGTGTAATTAAAAATAAGTTTGAGGAAACTAAATATGTAAAAAAAAAAATCCCCAAACATGAACTAAGCTTTTTTCCACGTGGACAAAATAAATAAAAATGATTGAACGGGATAATTACTTTAGGCATGAACGGTTTCTAGTTGGACCTTTTCTTTCTATTAAAATAAGAAATAAATAACACAAATTAAAAACATTTCATCCAATGATAACTCTGCCTCCTTCATCTATTGCTTCAATAGCATGTTAGTCCTCAATTTTTGAGATGAAGCAAGTTAGTCCTCAATTATCACTATATGTACAATCACTATGGTCAAAACCATCTAAATTTTCATTAAGTTGTCACATAATCGTCATGAAGCAAGTCCCACGTCAAATTTCTGAATATTGGCCACACGTTGTAAAGCTAAACCAAACAATATAAAGCTAAACATATGAGGACCACGTGGAGATCTGACACAGATTTAAACAATTTTCAATGACCATTTAATACAAATTTGACAATTTTGTTAATTAAAAATGAATTGTGCAACTATAGTAAAATGTTTGAGACATAATTATATGTACAAATCATTATGTTCAAAACAATTTAAATTTTCATTAAATTGGCATGTAATTCTCGTGAAACATACTGAATATTGGACCCTTAGTATAAATCAAAACCAAACTTCATAAAGATAAATATACGAGGAGTCGACCACCACATGACAAGTTACACAGATTTAGATGATTTTCGTGTGACCATTTAACACAAATTTGACAATTATGTTAATTGAATTTTGATTGTACAACTATAATAGAATGTCATAAACCAATTTAATATGGTAAGTTACGGTCCACCAATGCAATTTTCTCTCAATCTTATTGCATTTACCATAGACAAAAAATTGCAAACAACAAACGACGACGTTTGACAGTAACAAATTTTCTCACTCTTAAAACTCCCTTACTGTACTGTATAATACAGAGAAACGTGTATCTATAGAGAGAGAGAGTCCGTTTCATTTGAATCATTTATCCAGGTTTAATGGCTTGAGACCGTACCAGAGTCTGTATATGTATAATCACCACTATATGTATGTAACTAATCCATTCATATTTGCATGCTTCACCAACTCTCGCTCAAAACCCAAATGATCTTTAAAAAAGATCTTTCTTGAAATGAAAATCGAAACGAAATGCTTATGAAATTTCGTCATTTCACCATCCATTTCCATTTTTATCAATTGGACTGACCAATCCAGATGCTCAAAAGCGGTAATTTCTCGTGGGTTCTTAATTATTTTCTCTTCTTTTGATCATTTCTAGATGAATCTCTCCTATTTTTTCACTGTTTTCATTGCTATTGTTGTTAAATCTTGAGTTTGTTGTATCTTTTTCTTGGGTGTTTTTCTTGTTAGATTAACGTTTGAGAGAGTGAAGATCGAGAAGAGAGTAGAAAACATGAAGGATGCTGATGAGTTTGAAATGCTATTGGGTGAGATCCCACATGCAACATCTTCATTGAATATTCAAATCACACATGCCAAATCTCATCATCATAATCTTGATCATCATGGATATGGTAATGCATCGTCTGCGCCAAGGAAAATTAACGGTCGTGATCGCGGTATGTCTGATGATGAATTGTTAAAGCATAAGTATGCATGTATTTCTTCTCCTGTGAGTGGGTTTTCTTTACAATCTGATGGTTCTTCATCAAGCCTGCTCTCTGGTGGGCATTCATTTTCTGATAGTGGATCACCCACCCCACCCCAATTTGAAGAGCTGAAGCCCCACTCAATTTCTGGGAATGGACTTTGGTCGGAATTTAAAAAGTCCAATGATAAAAATATGGTTGATGAACTGAAGTTGATAAGAAATTTTGGTAAATTGTGTATTAATGATGCTAAAGGGGACGTTTCAGCATCCCCAAACGGTATTCAAGTTTGTTATCAATCTATGAGTGGGGAATCTGTTAATTATGGGAAGGGTTTTTCGAATTGGGGAAGGTTTAATTCTTACGTTCCAAGAAGTCCTGTGAATTTTGAGGGTCAGGATTACAGAATGGGTAATTTATTGGGATCCTGGTATTCCCCTGTTCAATCTGATGGATTGTTTGCTCAATCAGATTGGGAGAATTCTGCTTCGAGTTCTCAATTTTATAGGAATGATATGCAGGAAGGCAATGATTTCCTCGTGGGAGTTCCAGCTTTGAATTCTTCCACTTTGAACAGGCCTGATACTTCAATTTATGCTTCGCGAAATGGGATGAATCCAATTGATGGCAGAGATGTTTTTTCATCGCCTAACGTGCTTCAATCAACTCACTTAATGCCTCAATTTAGTGCACAAAATTTACTTCATTTCCATCAACCAGTGCCTAATGGAAGGATCAAAATACCTGCGTTTGTTAGAGTGCCTGAATTGGTTGTTGAAGGCTTAACCGGAGAGGATGGCTTAATTGTTCAAGGGGAATATCTAAATGATGCAATGAAAAGAAGATATGGACGTTCTAGGGGACAAAATACTCAAGAGTTCATACCCCAAGAAACCAGGTTACAACTAGATGGCCATCCACATGTTTCTAAAATCCAAGAAAGTGGCCGAATTGCAAGGACACGCTGCCCTTTCTCGATCACATCAAAGTGTAGCTCCCTAGTCGAAGTGCAAGGATACATATATCATATAGCCAAGGATCAGCATGGATGCCGATTCTTGCAAAGGATGTTTGATGAAGGGACTTCTCGAGATGTTCAAATAATATTCAGTGAGGTAATTCATCACGTGGTTGAACTTATGTTGAATCCCTTTGGAAATTACCTTGTGCAAAAACTGTTAGAAGTGTGCAATGAAGACCAAAGAATGGAGATTCTGCTTAGGGTAACCGATAAGCCAGGGGAGCTTGTTAGGATCTCTTTAAATGCACATGGGTAAGTTGTGTACATTTTGCTCTGTCTTTCAATTTCTGCATTTTGATTACACATTTTGTTCTTTTTGTATCAGCACTCGAGTGGTCCAGAAGTTGATTGAGACTCTCAAAACAAGGAAGCAAATTTCACTAGCTATTGCAGCCCTTGGACCGGGCTTTCTTGCCCTCATCAAAGACCTAAATGGTAACCATGTTGTCCAGCGATGCTTGCAATGTTTTACCATTGAAGATAGTAAGGTATTAACTCTCCTTCTTAATTACTGAGCTCAAAATGTATGATGCTTGCTATGATATTTGACACCTGTAATTTCAAATACACATGAAAGTAAGTGTCGAACATCTAAAACTGCTATTGTAGCTAATCGCAGTGTCTAGATTGAGCAGAGATCTTCATTTCTCTTTGTAGGTTTTGTGCAGATGATTTCCTTGCATTCTCTTTGCTTTCATTTTCTTCTCTATTCTCGCACACTCGCACGTTCTATTAAAACTATTAAATATTGAACTCGTGGATAGAAAATTGAACTTGAGGAATGGCATCTTGCATTGTGATTCAAAAGATTTTGATCTTGAATTTATCCATCAAAGATTTATAAATATTGATTGCTTCATCTTGTGCAGTCTTGTAGTCATCAACTTACTGCACTTCATCTCTACATTTTTTCCTCTTCAATCACTGTCAAAAATTTCAAAGTATTATTTGAGTTTAGAGAATGATGAATAATTGCATCCAAAAGGTTAGTTTTTAACCTCAAACCTCAAGCCAAGACATGGCAATTCACATCAAATACTCATCATCGAACATGTATCAATGAGAATTTACTCTGGTATCATATGTGACTATTTCCAAAGACAACAAAGTTTGTTATGTACCTGAACCTGTTTCTGGTGCCTCGTAGAAAAGTTTTTGGTGTTCCAATCAAACATATTGGAAATGTCACGAGAAGTCTTTTTTATGATTCACATCTTCTTGTTTCCGTTATGTTCTTAGGAGATAATATTATGTAAATACGTTCTCATAATCTTTTCCCAGTAAAATAGTAAAATGTTCTTGGCATGCATTCTTTGACTAATTCAGAAACTAGATGACTTTCCTATCATTTGTCAATGAAACGTTCTCATTTACTACCCCTAGTTTACCAATGTGAATCAGTGAGGATTCTCGTATATAACCTTAGATGTGGTTAGTCACAAACTGAACACCTGTACTCACTTTTCTCCGACTTAGAGGTGAAAAATAAAAATAAAATAAACAAAAATGATTTCTGGATCTTTCAATGCATATTTGACAAAATTACATCATCCTTCCCGTGAAAATGATTAAGGTGTACACATTTTCCTGTGAAGTCTTCTGGTTTGCATTTGGTTTTGATTTTTCCCAGTGTTTGTCGAATATTTATCTGATGTATATAGAGAAATTGAGTTGTTTCTTATTGAAAAATGTACTTAAAAATCTTTGATAATAGTGGTGATTAGAGCTTGCAAAACTTATGAGTTACTGAATGGCGTAGGCAGTCCTTTTCTCCTCTTGTCTTTCACCTCAACCCCTTCAAATTTTATGATAACAGTGGTGCTTAAAGATTGCATTTAGTTAATGGTTTAATTTAAAAACATAAGAACTGCCTTTTTAATTTTTAATAACCTAAAGTTTATACGGAAAGCTGAGTGCTATTTGTGCTAAAAACTGTCCCCTGTTTGAAGTCAACGTGATGGTACGGTTGCTTATATACTGTCTGGCCTGGAAACAGCTGATAGTTTGATTTTTTCCTTTTCCTTAGCCCAATAGGTTCAGGTATTTCTGGCTAGTAAGGGATTATAGCTTGATCCTAGTTTCCTACAGTGTCTTTAGTACACACTTAGTGGATGGTGGAAGGTATTGTTAGCATGTTTGGCTAAGTTACATAAATTTACTTTTAAGTAACTTCATGTTTCGTATCATGTTTGGATATGTCGCTTTTATATTGTTTATAAATTATAAATAAAAACAGTTGCTTATTTTTGCTCTAAGGTTACTTATTTTTGCACTAAGGTAGGACTTACTGATTTAAGTGATTCAACTCTTATCTGACAGTTGTTGCTATTTCATTTGCAGTTCATTTTTGTTGCTGCTGCAAATTACTGTGTGGATATCGCAACACATCAACATGGATGCCGTGTTCTTCAACGATGCATCGCCCATGCAACTGGAGAACACCGGGAGAACTTGGTTGCAGAAATTTCTGCAAATGGGCTTCTTCTCGCTCAAGATGCATTTGGGTAAATATATTAATTACTAATATCAATTAGCAAATTATTGTTTTTGTCCATTTGAGTTTCTCTTGATATTAATTTTTACTGCTAGAAATAAGCTTGATCCCCCATTCTTCATTAATTCATTAGACTTTTAGAACCAAAATTTTAGTTCTCTGATTTTTAGGTCCTGGTCAGATTGATGTTCTTCATTATTATAAAATTCTTAATGTAGGTAGATGCTTAAGTTTGAAGTTTAAAGCTTCGTAACTATATAATTAAATTCTGAGGCCGAGTAGTTTTTATTATTCTTTTTCAGACCACTGTTTTTTAATTTCTTTTTCATTCTTTTGGGCTCATGCACAAACTGAATCCCCCAGGACTACTTTGAACTTTTAGTTTATTATAGATCATGTTGTTGAGTGTCTTATCTTTACATTCCCTTTCTTTTGTTTCCACGGGACCATTCTACCCACTGTTCTTAATAAATCTCGCTTTCTGGAATTAACAGAGACACTTGGTAGTGTGAGAAAAGGGAAAAAAGAACGACAAAAAAAGATTCATCTTGGTGAAATGCTCTCTCACCATCTATAGTACTTGGCAAAATTAAACCCATCTCACCTTTGTATCTAAGTTTATGCGACTCTCATGCCATCTTTTCACTTAGGATTCTATTTTATTTCAGGTAGTAATATTTTAAAATGTTTCCTCGTTTATACTGGAAGTGGATGTTTGGCATACGGTATTGTAAAAGACTAGATTGTTTAACATGAACAAAATTTGTAACTTCATTTTCCTTGATCGATAATATTACTATCTAGAACTAGTCAATCCTCCCTACCAAACATGCTAGAAGTAGGTATTCCTTTTGTTTCTCTAGTGATTAGTGTCCCTTTTCTTCTGTTGTTGCTTTTCTAGATTATAGTCAATTTATATTTCTTCTCCTCGTTGGAATCTAGTTCATTTTGTGAAACAAATAGCTACATTATCATCGCTCATATTATTTTTCTCTACCTGCACGGTTACTTGATTTATGTTTACCTTTTGTTACATTTGTCTGAAGACGGGATTTACATTGGCTTGCAGAAATTATGTTGTTCAGTTTATTTTAGAACTTAAGATCCCTTCTGCTGCATCCAAGTTAACGTCTCAGTTTGAGGGTAACTATGTGCATCTCTCGACCCAAAAGTTTGGTAGCCATGTTGTTGAAAAGTGTCTTGTGGTGTGCAATGATGAAACTCGATCAAAAATCATTCTTGAATTGCTCTCTGCAACTTATTTTGAGCAGTTGCTTCAGGATCCACATGCAAATTATGTTGTTCAAACAGCTCTTCGGGTTTCTAAGGTACGCTATTTCTATAGTCTAATTGTTGGTCCAAAATACGATTTTATGTTTCGATTTGTAAACAAGAACAGAAAATAAATAAACCAAAAATAACAAGAACGAACACAAGATTTTTTGGCCCAAAGGCCCCGAGGTTCGGCGACCACTTCTAACTCCTAATCCCCGTTGAGCATCCATTAGGAATAAGCTCAAATCCACTAAAATCGCCCAAAAATTTGCAAGAACGAGTTGCTGTACAAAAACCACAAAACCAGTAGAAATATTCACAATCCTTCCACTACACATATGAACTCAAACAAGAGTTCATTATTCTACTCTCAAATCTCACAAATTCACACAAGAAAAAGGAGACCAAATTTACAGAGAACAATGAAAAAGAGCACTGCTCTATGAGAGTAAAATGAAAGACGAAGGCAGCGGCCTGTGAACTGAGAGAAAATATCTCTTAAAACCTAAAGTCAAAGGTCTATCAAATAATTGCATAGAAACCCTTGAAGTTATATATAGTTCACAATTTCAGATTCTTCTAATTTGTTGGACCAGTTAGTTGGGCCAAAAGTTTGGGCCAGAGTAGCAGCATATAATTGGGCCTCTTCAAAATCAGCAAACATTTTCCAACACTAATGTTGCTCACCACTTGGTTTGACAAATGTTTATATGAAAGCACATGTCATTTCAAGCTTGAATGTTATTTGGAAGTATTGGTTATAATGAACAAAGGCATAGGGAAAGGGGGTTGGCAACGACCCGCTAAATTTTCGTTTTATTCTGATTTTACATGGAAATTCTGGAAATTTTTCAATATGTGCACAATGCACGTACATTTTGTCCCTCAAACTTTTCTCCCCCCTCCCCCCGCCTAAATTTCATGGCTTTGTCACTGGTTGTGAAGTATATTATTCTTGTACTTCATGGCGGAAAATACCATTGTGCAAATAAATTAGATGACCCCGCCCCGCTTCCTCCAATACGCACATGCAGTTGATCTTATCATCGGAAAGTTGTCCTTGTGGAACAGGGTCCGGTTCACAATTCTTTGGTGGATGCGATTGAGTCCCACAAGGCAATCTCGCGCAACAGTCCTTATTCCAAGAGGATTTTCTCTTACAAGCTTTTGAAAAAGTGATGTATAGTCTTTCGGGATTATGTTGTTGTTTTATCCTTCGACTCCGTTTCCATCGAGCACAGTGTTTTGTCAATTTTGGGCAAAAATAATTGAATAGTCAGCCAAAACTACATGCAAAGTATAAAGGGTTGGCATCTGTGCTTTTAGTTGCTTAAATTATGAAGACTGTGTACAAATTATCTTGTCAATGTAGCTTTCAGGATGATTTCCATGCCCTTTGCCTGTGGGATTTTAATGTGTTACTATACAGTGTGTGTAGACAGGATTTTTCTTTTGCAGCACTGTATCACACAACTTGGACGTTTCTTAATGCATGGCCACATTTGATAGGAAGAATTTTTCATTAAATTGGAAATTATTTTCCATATTTTGTTTGATAGGAAAAATTTTCTAGTCAATTGGTTTTTCAACTTTTACCTCACGTGACCCCATTTTCCACATTTTCCTTGAATTGGTTTTCCTATGAGTTTGGTGATTTTTGGTTTTCTAGGCATTTTTTTTTTATTTTTGGGCAATTGAAACAAATTTTATCCATTTAATGAACAATTTTCATGGAAAACAAAACTAAACGAACCCCAATAGATTCAAAATTTCAATATTTTTTAGGTGAAAAATTATATCAATCAAATACGATTAATTGACAATTCTCAATAAAACAAGCTATAGGCAATTCAATTTCATGGAATCCATTTTCTATCCACTCAAATTTCATTCTTGCAATCAAATGGACCATATATGTTTTTAACATGTACGTTTCGCTTGTTTTGTAAGTTAAATTATAGAATAATGTTATTCATCCTTAGTGGGGTTGTAACCTCAGTCTATGTGGTGATAAATGATAGGCTAAGTGAAAGGTGAAAATATTAAATTAAATAATTCCATCTATCATTTAATGCCGCACTAACGCCACCTAGACTAGGGTTGTAACCCAAGTGAGGCTAAATAGCACTACTCATATTGTGTTTTATTAAATATTATTTGTAGTTCACCTAGGGAAATGGGAAATGCAGATTTTTTTTTTTGGTGTGGGTTAGATAAGATAGATTCATCTTGATAAGTTCTTAAAGTTGCAGTGGCCCTGCTAAATTTCTGAAAATTTAATTTGTAAATTGAAAGTGAAATTACATTAGAGACTCTAAGGGGGCGTTCTCTTTGCCGTTTTCTGTTTTTTATTTTTCAAAACGGTGAAAATGCGTTATCTTACTCATTTTCGAAAATAAGTTTTCGAAAACACAAAAAAAAAATTGTGAAAAAAAAAAAAGAAAACTGCCAAAAAGCCGTTTTCGACGTTTTCTTCACAAACGCAGCACCAAGTTGGAAAACACGAGAAACGGCCAAAACACTTCCTCCTTTCCACTGCCAAGCCACACTGCACCGCCACTTTCCAAGCCCCTAAACTCCGGCCAACCTCCTCCAAAACGGCCGGATTAATATACCATTGTTAAACCCTCAATCCCCTCTTCAATTACCACACAAACAACAATTCAATCATATACCAAAATCGATAAAAATTATCCTCAAAAAACTGATTTGAAATGAACTGCTTCTGCCGGAATCTCAACCTCCGGCAACACCCAAGGTCGCGCACCACCACCGGTCGATTGTCCACCCTCGACGACTCCAGCCATGGCTTCAAAACTCACCAATGGCTTCCATAAAATCAGGCGATTCTTGAGCTATCGAAGGCGGCTTCCATAAGATCAGCTGATTCTAGAAGTAATCGAAGGTGACCCATTATAGTATTGGATATGCCTTGTTGGTGATCCGCGATCGGAAACGTGGCTGGCGGCGGTGTTTATTGGCCGAAACCGCGAGTGGTAGCGCGGCGATTTCGGCAGATTTATGGTCAAGTACTCTGTGGATGTTGTAGAGGGAGGTCAGGGGGTTGGAATGATGCTGGGATCTGGTAGTCTAGGTGGTGGGTGGTGGTCGGTTTGTGAGGTAGAAGATGGTGGCTCTAGCGGGGCGATTTCCAATTTGCTGGAGAATGGAAAATAATGAAAACAATGTAAAAGCCTTTTGGGGAAACTCAAAACAGAAATACAAAGAGAACGGCCCCTAAAGTTTCTGAAATTTTAATTTTTTGACAAATTACTTTGAATTCACGGCATGGCTGGCTAGTTTGTTAGTATGTTGTTCTTATTCCATTTTGAGTTTTCTTTCCAACTTTATTCCTTTTCACTTGTCATTTTCAATCCTTTTCTTCCTTTATAATTCATAGATATTGACTGGTTTTCATTTCCCGTGATTATCACAAGATTGGACTAGATTATGGGCCGATTCTTTGGTTTTTTATTGACTGGAATGGTCGATCTGATTCGATTATCATAACATTGATCTTAAAACATATTTTTTATTCCAAAAATTCACGCTAACTTTTATGTCAAGTACAACATATCTACGTTTAGTTTGGTGGGTTGTGTGCCTAACCAATAATGACTACGATTATGAAAATATAAATGACAACGATAATGGTGATGAAGAGTTTACTAAGTGCCAAGCTATGACAAGGGGTGTGACGAGATAAGATAGATTAGGTTGTATGATAATCTATTCTTAGCTTTCAGTCTAGTCTAGTGGTTAATACTTTTGCGTTGTATTTTCTTTGGTGGACTGGAAGATTAGGTAGTATATCCGCCACTTCAATTTATTTATATTATAATAAATATCCACTTCCTTGATAAAAATATGGGAAATTTAGCTCCAGAATATACCCATTTTTTTAATCTTACTAATATTGTACTCTGTTTAAGAATCTTAATAATATCTACCCATTTTACTCGATCAAGGCCACAAGATTTTACCCCGTCATCAATTTTGCACTATAGATTATTATTATTATTATTATTATTATTGTTGTTGTTGTTATTGTTGTTGTTGTTGTTGCTCCTCGCCTTTGAGCTCAGTGAAACGAGGTCATGTGACACGACACCTGAACGAGCAGTCAGCAAGAGTCAAAAGAAGACCTAATAGGTCAAATACACCAATAAGTAGGGCTGTTCGTGGGTCGGTTCGACTCGGTTCGGTTCTGAAGAGACCCGTCTAGTCTAGTGGTTAATACTTTTGCTTTGTATTTTCTTTGGTGGACTGGAAGATTAGGTAGTATATCCGCCACTTCAATTTATTTATATTATAATAAATATCCACTTCCTTGATAAAAATATGGGAAATTTAGCTCAAATGCCTACTAAAAAACCCAGAATATACCCATTTTTTAAATCTTACTAATATTGTCTTAATAATATCTACCCATTTTACTCGATCAAGGCCACAAGATTTTACCCCGTCATCAATTTTGCACTATAGATTATTATTATTATTATTATTGTTACTCCTCGCCTTTGAGCTCAGTGAAACGAGGCCATGTGACACGACACTTGAACGAGCAGTCAGCAAGAGTCAAAAGAAGACCCAATATGTCAAATACACCAATAAGACAAACAGTCCGAAGTCCTCACCACAACACGACGAAATCTAGGTTGAGGCACTTTTTCAAAGACGAAGCTCAGGTCCATCCGATGCTCTCTCCAACTTATCTGAAACTCATTGAGCCGACGTTGTCTCCTGAAATAAGATTAAGGATCTACTACAAGTGAATGAAGTGACACTTGTAATAAAGTTATCAGTATGTCAACATATTGTATATGGCGGCTGACCCCTTATCAATATATTAATTATATAAATAGACAATGATATGATGTCCCAATTAGAGAGATGATGCCACGTGATTCTGATATAACGATCACCACGTCGGCCAATGCAGTATAAATATGTCATCTTTGTAATTAAAAGGAGAGGTTAGATCATTGATGGAAAAATAGACTATCATATATTCGAAATATACACTTGAACTCTTGAAAGAAATATATTAACATTTCATCTATCCTTCTACATATTCTTGTTTGTTATTACATAAATTAGTTTGGTGTCAACCTGGCAATCGTTGTTAGTGCAATTGCTTTCGTTCCACACACTGGAACTCGAACGATTTTGTCTCTCGCCACAAAGTACCTTCCGCGTCCATTTCCTCATTGTTACCGTCATCATTCCCGTAGGAACGCGCCGGAATCATATTTGACTTGGCGTGATTGAGCCTGACATCTACTGATTCATTTTTGGGGGTCAATAATTATAATAATTATTATTATTATAAGAAATTCTATTCATCTAAGTCGTCGGAGGTTAGCAATCTAAGCCCCTGTCTGAGTTCCATTTTATGAAATTAGATTTTGTAAAAAAATATATCTTTTTTGAAGAATATGTGGTTAAAAAAATATATCTTTTTTTGTAAAAAGTAAGAAAATATTTTAGATTTACGTGTAAAACTATTTTATTAGAATAATAAATGATCGAAAATAAGTTTGAGATAAAATGAATTTAAACAAACATGACTCCGATAGAGGTTAAGTGCCAGCTAGGTAATTGGACGCGTGATTTAAAGATACTTATTTTTATCTTTATTTTCTAATTCAATCCCCATCCCCATCACCTCACATCAACTTACCTCCAGGCTACGAAGCAAATCATTTCTCCTTTCACTATCTCTCTCGCTTTTTTAAACAATTCTTCCACTCTCTCTGTAACTTTATCTTCCTTTTACTCTCTCTATTTAATTTTGCAACATGTACGTAAAATAACAACTCAACGTCAAGCCGATCGAACAATTATCTCACTTTTTTAGTTCTCCATCTTTTTTTTTTTCCTATATTCTCGATTTCGTAATCTAAGATTTTTTTATACAAAGAGCAAATGGATGGCAATTGGAATCGAAGTTGGGTAATAGCCAATCTGCCTCAAATCTATCTGCGACTGCGTAGACCATTTGAATAGTTTGTCACTACATTATGATTTTGTGATTGTGAGAGCATATGGCATTTGTGTTTGGGGCCAATGCTATGGTGCAGTGCGAATGGTGGTTGGACGTGAATTTAGATCGCGAGTTAATAGTGGTGCGATGAAAGTTTGTGGTATTGCGATATGTTACTTGAATGTAACAAGAT